AGGACTGATCTGGTGCAGAGGTTGTCAGAGACAAGCTCAGGACTCAAAGGTCAGAGAACAGTACAAAAATATTACACAATAATGTGAGTCTCATAATTTTAGAATTCATAGTAAAAACATCTGCTTGGGTTCAAACTTTGTAGAACTAGAACATAGATGACCCTTACTTTACTTTTTCTAATTTTTATTACTTTATATGTAATAATACTACCTACTGTTACATATTAGAGCAGAACTACACAGCACAAATGGAAAGTTACCATATCATTTTATATGTCGACATACTGTAACATCATTATTTTTAAATCCCATGTGTCTTCAGAAGGGCCTTCAAGAAGCTTGGAGCTTAAGGGTTGTGGCAGCAGTACGGTAATTTCTCATATTCATTTATTTTTGTCATTCATGTATTTTTTCATTTCTACACTTTTGCAAAAATGATTGTCCTCTGCAGCAGGACTCCAGTGACTGGACTAAACTTGAACCTGAAGTGAACAGTACGGATGCTGATGAGGTTTCATCTTACAGGTAAAAATAACATCCTCAATACTGTGTCTGTCTCTGTGCCGTTACTTGTTATATCAGTGCAATATGGTTATTACAGGGGAAATAAATTCTCTCAAACTGTACATTATTCCACTGTGCCCCTAAAACAGTATTTGTTTTTGTATAAACAAACAACAAACTCACCTCTTTTCTCTTCCACGATTTAGCCTACAGACTGAAGCAGGAAAGTTTGAATGCAGTGTCTCTGGGTTGCGCTGGTTCTGTAAAGAAAATGTCAGTTTTAAGTACCAGTTTTGTTCCTGGGGGGAACCTATGGAGAGGATGGAAAGCATCCAATACATGCCTGCAGGTCCCCTAATTGACATCACAGTCATTGCTGGAAGGTTGGATGAAATGCACCTGCCACACTGGATCTGCATTGGTAAGTGGACATGAAGAGAATAATAAAATAAAATGTACTTTTTAAATTTCTCATAATGTGTACAAAACTGATTTTTGTGCTTGTGTTTTGTGATACAGATGACCCTGCAGTATTAGACAAGTTTGCAGTCTTACACATCAATGACAGTGGCGATGTTGTGGAAAAAGTGTCTGAGGTCACACAATCTCATGTCAAGTTATCTGAACCCATTTTTTCTCCACGAGCAGTCCTGATGAAAATTGGCTTTCCTTTGAAAATAAGCTGTAATGTGTTAATATACTACAAACCCAACACACCCTTCCTCAAACTCCATGTTTACCTGATCCCACATGATCTCGCTCTAAAAACGGTAATTGAATATCTTACTGTCACAAATGCTTAACATAAGATTTGAATTGTACCAAAGCCTACAATGAAGTAATGGGGCCAATGTTTAAAAAAAGAAGAAAAAGTATAATTACAAAAATTAGCCTTGTTGCTAATGTCCAAAGTGAATACTAATACTCCTGTATGGGGACAGTTGGTCTTGGTTGTGGCTTGCCTAGAATCATGTGTTTCTGCACATGATGATGCACATAGGAAGATTTTAGTTGTAGAATATACAGCAGTATTATAGCATGACCTTTTCCTTAATACGACTACCTTAAACTTATGAAAACTTGTAAAATTAATAACTAAGGCTTATATTTCCTTCAATTTTTAACTCATTATTTTAGTTTTTCAAATTGTGGAGCCACATAAGGCTCGTAAAGAAGACCTGCTTCTAGTTGGGACCCTGATTTTAATTGAAGTGTCACAGTATTCTTGAAATCTCTTCCTAGTCCTGGCCCTAATACTCTATTGTTAAAACCATATAACCATATATTGTTCATGAATGTATTTTAGAACACAGATGACAATGTTTAGTACTGTAACTGTGAAGCAGCATTTTTTTTTTTTTTCAGAGAGTAGACGAGAAGGAATCCTCCAAAGGATATCAACTAATCGAAAAGCCGCGCCCAGACAAGTACCTGAAAATGAAGCAGGGTTTCAAGCTCGCAGCAGACATAGACACAGCAAGGATTTATCCTAAGGTACAGTTTGTACTGTAAATCTGTGTACATAGTCAGTTTTGGTTCACACATATGTTTGATTATCAATACTCAAAATTGAGCTCAACCAATGACAAATCAAATGTAAAATCCTGCTTTTACATTTGATTTGTCATTGGTTGAGCTCATTTTTAATTTTTAACCAGTTTAACCAGGGAATTACTTCTCTTTTGTTTTTGTTGTATGTGCTCAGGAAATAACCCTCAGATATGATAGCCAAGAGCCAAATTTCTATGAAGTGGTCAGTGAGAATCCAGACAGAGACTTCCACCTCATACTCTCACACACAAATGAAAGTGATCCAGTATGGACCTGTGAAATTCAAAAAGGTTGGTGGTTATTAAACAAGATTACCTGCACTATAAGAAGAAGATAAAGACTAGACAAAAGTATGGGTATGAGGACAGACCCACTGATCACAGTACCAAAAAAATAAAACTATAGTTGTAATAATGGTAAAAATCTTACCTCTCAAATGGTCTTTGATACACATGAGTTCTTCTAGCTCTTATCATTAAAATATAAATGATTAGAGAAAAGGTTTATGTACTATCCTTGTTACATCAGCTATCCATATTTTGTTTTATTTCAGATGATGATCTAAGATATCAAAACTCTGCTCATTTACAAGGTAAAATGCTGCATATAAAGAGTTTTGTACATGAAAATGAAAAATAAAATAAGACCAGCAACTACCTACTGCAGACATCACCATTACAGTATTGTAGATCCTAAGTCTGTGTTATTAGTTTGTTTTGCTTGTTGTTATTTATTACTTGTTTTACATCAGATACTTTAAACAAACTTGCTCAGTAGTTGTCTTTATCTGAATTTACAGAGCTGAACTGCTATTTCTAGTATATTTGTTAGCTTGCTCTACTATTTTTGTCATTAATGCATGAGTCTCTTTGTAGTCCAAGAGACAGGTGGACAATCCTCCCTACTTGGTTTAAGTGACAGTAAGTTTTCTCTTTACAATCTCTTTATTTATTTTCCGAGCATGAAGCATCACCGAAAAGCTGTTGTTAAACCAACCTTTGATTTTTAATTTTACATTCAACCTGAATATTTGAAACTGTAGGCTGGTGTTTACAGTTTTACAATGTAAAAGTATTCCTTGAAAGTTCACTTGAGGGGCTAACCTGAAATTACAGAAATGTTGACTTTTCAGACACTGAACTTTATTTAGGGGAAAAGTTCAATTCATAACCAGGAAGAGCTTCTGAGAGACAGAGCCTATATTTAATTAGCCACCTTTTTTGTGATGACTTTCTGCCAGCTTTGGCATTTGAATCAGTGACAGCGACAGTCAACACCAGCTACAAATGAGGCTATAATAGCTGAATGTTTTGTAAACTGCTACACTTTGCCAACATGTAAGAGATTAATTGTAGGGTCACATTTGTGCATTTTGCTCACTTGCACCCAAATAATCTTTTTACATTAACACACTAATTTCACTCACATATGGTGGAAGCAAAATTCTGGCACTGTTGGCTGTCATAAAGTAGAGCAGCAATGCATAACTAGCAGGCTAATGGAGAACAAAACACAGTAGTATACGCTAAATAGAGGATCTGCATTTGAACGCTTTCTTTTCAGTCAGTTCAAATCCTTTAAAATCTGACCGCATTAGCCGACACTGATACCTCGGGACATCTCTACTTCAAACACATTGGAATAAATTAGGAAAAGATTCCTCGAACAACTAAACAATCTGGCAGTTGGTGTTAACAGAATAAGTAAAGAGTGATAGGTTCAAGATTGATTTGCTTTGTTGATAATTTTGTGAATGAAGAAAGCCTGATACAAAATGAGTCAGATGTTAAATTAATCACTCATGCAACGTGTTTTCTTTCCTTTCTCCTCAGAGAAGCACACTGTGAATGAACATCTGTCTGCACTGATGCAGAATGTGAGTAATGTCACATCAGTCAGCTTTATTCAGTAAGATGAATGTTGATAATCATCCAATACTTTATTTCAATTGTGATCAAAACCAAACTTTTAATTTAAATTGGATGGTTCTCACAAAGTTGCTGCTGCATTCAGGTGCACTTTTCATCAGTTATATTATTTAGCAATTAAAGTCCAATCATATCCCATTGTTTATTGATTTTGAATTCATCAGGCAACAATCA